GCGCTCCAGATCCCTGACTTTAATGGAGGATTGTGGTTCTCTTCATTGCCTATGAACTGGAGATCGTGTGGGTTGACCCAACTGTATCAAAGCGCCATCAGAAGAGCCTGTCGCATCGGGGTCTGAGCTTTGCACGACAATCTCTTTAGAGACCTCAAGGGTTGATTCCCCGAGGATAGCCGAGCCCGCAGGCAAATCAAACATGCGATTGATTGTGTGACTACTGGAAGAAGACATGGTAACTGCTCATTTCTAGGTACCTAAAAAAGAAGCAAACATGTGTCAAAGCTCGAAAGATTCGGCAACCAATTCACACTTGCTTCCAGATCAAGCACCCAAGATAGCTCGTGCCATACTATGAAAGCACACAACCTACTCAGGGTCCCGGCAGCCACAACGTTAAGCCCTCCTTAAAGCTAAAACTGTTGGAGACGCACCCCAAAACCCTACTAAAACCCTAAAACGCTCAATGTGGGTACTACAGTGACCACCTTTTGACGCAAAAACCAGAAAAACGAACAAAGAAAGGGAAAGGAACCTTACTAGAGTGAGAGAAGCGTAGAGGATCACCAGAAAGAACGGCTTGATAACAATAAAACAGTAGCGGAATGTACAAGAATGCCAGAAAACTTTCACGGATTGAATGAGGATTCTAACGATTTCACCACCTTTTATAGTAGCTTGCATGGGTGACGAAAAAGAGGAGTTTAATCATAGTTGTCAAGTTACAGTGAATCTCAACCCTTCATTCGTCGAGCAATCTCTACCTTTGGACATGGCCATGTGTCGACCATCTGCTAAAGGCAACGAGTAGTCAAACTGTTACATTGATAACCGTCATCGTACATTGCCTCAACTTCGCACGTGGACAACTGTAGTCTCCCATGCACGACGAAATGTGACTGACAAAGGTTGTCGCATTTAATGTGACATGACTGCATTGAAATTACATGTTTGCCCTAACTTTTGATATTTTGAGTTTGGCAGGTATCATTGGAAGTAAACAAGTGTGAAGCATGTTGATCGGACATGAGCTCAACCCTATGAGCTCAACCAAACCCATATCCAGTTATCATTCCAAGCTTGGCATCAAATTGGGCAATAGTCTTCGAAGCTCAAAACGAGCTTCGAACACTAGGGGGCAAATGTTGTGTGTAATTTTCCCACCAAGCTTAGGATATAATGAGGATATAGCTCGACCTAGTATCAGCTCAACTTCACCAGTTGTTCGACCCAGCATAAGCTCGTCGACATTTAGCTCGACCCAGCACAAGCTAGTCGCGAACAACCCAAATGATCACTCAATCAATTCCTAGCTAACTTCAGATCCCAGATATTTCGAGGAAGACTAGATTAACAGCAATCTCTACGCAATCACAGTGCCCAATCACAAGAATATCGGAATTGCATTTCGAATCAATTGTAATCCCTTTATTTTTGCTCTTTCTTATCTACAAATATTGTATATAAACCCCCTACAACGATGGAAAAGGGGTTACAAAATTTTCATATAACTCTAATAGTAAGCTCTCACAGCAAATACAAACACAGTGGACGTAGGCTCAAGAGTTTATCTCACTGAACCACTTTAAAAATCTCTTTGTTATTTACATTATTACATTCATTATTTTTCATCGCTAATTACCCGTAATCACGCACATATCGTTTTCAATCTCGCCAAGGTCAATCAGATCACTCTGGTTGGTGTAGATTTTTGTATCAACAATTATCACATGGCGCACATGACCGTAGAGCTAAACCTCATTATTAAAATCTTACACGCTATTAATATAATTTAATTAAGAAAACCTAAAGGTTCGTTGAGCATACTATTTAAACACTTTTTAGAATAGTCTTTTTAGGGTTTAGCAAGGGTAGCGGGTAGAACCAGAACCTACGGGTAGACCAGAATCGGAATCGACACTATACGGGAAGGTTTCGATTCCATTTTATTGGAACCGACACTGTGCGGTTCCGATTCTGGTTTCGATAGGTTCCGAAACCTAGGAAAAGAACCTAAAGCAGGTACCCTACTTGGAACCTGTTTGTGTTTTGGTTTTGATTGAGAAATTTTATGTGAATTGTGATGAATTGATTGAATTCAAGTGTTGCCTAGAGATTAGAGGATTTATGAGTCATATTGGACACAAATGAATGAGTAATCAAAAGCTAAAAACTACTAAATGTAGGTTTTCTTGACTTGTTGGGGCTATATTTATAAACTTTTAAGGTATTTTTGTCATTTTTTAAACTAATAGGGGGTAATTAATTCTTTACAGGTTACCCGAGTAAGGAATCGGAACCTGCATTTCAGGTTCTGGTTCCTTGAATTTCGGTTCCGGTTCTAGTTCCTTTTTTGGGAACCTGCACTGTGCAATTCCAGTTCTGGTTCCGATTCCAATTCCAGTTCCCCTGAAAAATGCAGGATACCCGAAACCACTCATCCCTAAGCATTTTGGAAAAAGTTGAGTTGAGTTGAGTTGTATTTGATAGAATAGGATTTGAATTTGAAAATAAGTTTGGTACATTATTTGAATATTATATTAGAGTTAAATAAATTGGTGAATAATTGTTTGGTATATTTTTTCAAAGAAGATTTTAAGATAGAATATTTTGGTGCAATTTTAAAAAAAAAAAAATTATTTGATTCTAAAACTTTTCAATTTACATTTAAATAATATTAATTAGTTGTTTGGTAATTTTCTTATCACTAAATTAAAAAAAAAAAATTTCTCCATAATAATTTGTTTTAGGGTGTGTTTGTTTTATTATTTTGTATAGGATTTTAGAAAAAGTTAGAATTTAGTGGTTATTACGAGGTAGGATTTAAAAATTAACAAAAACACCTCCTAGGTTTGTTAATTTAGCTAAACACTCATGTAATAAAACATTGAAAATTAACAAAAATACCCCCACCCACGCATTAAATGCCAGCAATGCGTTGTAACTACAACATGCAATGTATAGCAATTGCATTAGTCGCAAAAAGTAATAAAGTGATAAGTAAAGTATCGTTCCCACAAGGATTGGTTATTAAGCACTGAATTTTCCTAATTGTTCTCAAGTTAGAGAAACCAAAAGGTGTTTGGATTTACGGGAGAAGTTTAAACTAAGATGGAAACAAAATTTACTAAGTATTTAAAAAGCTAATTAATGAAAGCAAGATTAAAACAAGAGTAATATCAAGTAAGGCAAACGGTTGGGGTTTTGACTTCATTAGGATTCTATGAATTAATCTACGAATTATGCTACTTCTACACTCACATACACGGATTGTAAATCGAACTCCCTAATGTGTAAAACATACCTTCTCAGGCTATGAATTCCTACTTTTCCCTATTAAGCTTCCACACCCAACAATTTGAAAATTAATAGATCCAAGTTCATTAAGCTAATGGAATCCTAGATTGATTTCATTGATTCTCAAACCTATCTCTAGTGTTCAATATAACAATGGTGATTTCCCTAAGAAGCTCATACATGATTCATTTCTCAATCTCATCATGTTCAACAAATACTTTCAAGAAAAATAAGAGAAATCACAAAATCCATGCAATAGAATGTAGAAACAACACTAATTCATTGATTAAACAAAGAAATCCCAAATTACATCAAAACTCTAACCCAAGATGAGTTAGTTCATACTGAAATTAACACAAATCGAAGTAAAAACAGTGAGCAATGTATTCAACATATTCAAACTAAGAAAAGAGAACAAAGATCTTCCCTCTTTGACGAATCCACAAGGTTCAATCTTAATCTTCTCTCCTGCTTTCCCAAAATGTTAAACTTACTCTAAAAGTGATGAACCCTTCTAAAAATGGCTAAGTTTTTCTTATATAGTTGGTCCAAAAACCTAAAAACTTTCCTAAATTAAAACTGTGCGTTTTGAATAAAACTGAAAAACGCAGACTTTGTCAAGTTAAGTCGAAATCTTATGTCGAGCGTCTATCACCGCGGCGAAGAAAGAACTTCGTCGCGACGAACCTTCCTGAACAATTCTGAATTTACAGAATTGCCCTCCGCTTGCTTCCTTACTTGAATCTTCAATCTTCGATGCTCTCCAATGGGAACAAGCTTCATAGTGTTTCAAATCTGCTTCAGAACTTCCCCGAATTTTGAGATTTGCTTGCTTCTGGGTCCAAAAACTCGATTCCGCTCATTATTTGCTCAAAGTGCACGTTTTGGCCTGAAACATAAAATATGTGAAATTAAGTTACAATTCAAGCACAAACAAAATAAGAAGTATCCAAAATCCGGCCAAAAAGCCTAAATAAAACAGTATAATCCTCGAATTATCACCACCACCACCGTTAGAGGATGGTCGGGGTCACTGTATCAGAGCATGATCGGCTGGATTTGGCTGGTCGTGCACCAATTGACCTTTTTCGGCCAGATCCACTGTGGATCTTGCTAGAAAAGGCCAGATTTACAACCAGATTTGACCACATTTGGTTGTTAATAACAACCAAATATATGTCCATCGTTGATGGTCAACGACGACCATATCTTAGTCATCATTGATGGTCAACGACGGCCATATGTTAGTCATTGTTAATGACTAACTACGGCCAAAGATCTGACTGTAAGATCTGGCTGTCAACGGTCAGATCTTTGACCATAAATTTGACCTTTTTTTGTCAGATCCACAATGAATCTGACTGAAAAATACTAGATCGACATACTATCGGTCAAATCCAGCCGATAGTATACCATTATACCAGATTCTGGCCACTTTCCAATGGTGGTGGCCGAAATCTAGCAAATGTGGGTGGGTGGATAGGTGGGAGTGTTTTTGTCAATTCCTAAACCCTTTTTTTTTTTTTTTTTTTTTAGTGTTTAGTTAAATTAGCAAACCTAAGGGTTTAAAAATAATTGAATAAAATAAAATATGATTTTTAGAATAGGAAAACAAATGTGTATTTTGAGTAGGATATGGATAGGATAGTGCAAAAATAATTAAACAAATAGGTCTAAACTACTAATACATCATTTAAAAACATGGCATTAATACATATCTATATTAATAATACGAAGCTACTAATAATCATCCCTTAGAATCCTTCGTACACTTATATTCAACTAACAATTACAACATGGATTCATGTTGTGCCCACATAGCATTAGTTATTTATTCCTTAGAGTTCCCATGTTGTCTGTATTACGTTGATGCGGTTGATTCGAACCTGCCCCATTCCTTTCAGTTTCTGCCCCGTTTTCTAAATCAAAATATCCTTCCTCATAAACTCTATGGGCATTAAACTTTTCTAAAATAGGGTCTGCATATTGAACCTTCTGATAAAATTGTGAATTACACAACATACCATAGCAATTTTACCTTGCGTCTCCAACGAGTAATTGTTCATGCCATCAAGAATACGAAACCTTTTTTTAAAAACACTAAAGGTTCTCTCCACAACATTCCAAAGCGATGCATGTCTGTAATTAAACAACTGAAGGGGTCTAGAAAGGTTACGACACACATCGAGAACATAGTAGGGAACTCGTCTATGTGGGCCAAGGAACTCACCTCTGTTCGCATAACCCGCATCTACTAAGTAATATTTTCCTATAATAAAATATTGAATGTTATTTGCAGATGTATAAAAAAATGTTTACAATTTAGCTAAAATACATAAAGAAGTTAGCTATACCTGAAGGAGGATGCGGGAAACCAGAATCAGGATTGTCTAGAACTAAATTTAAAATTCTTGAGTCATGGGCAGATCCTTCCCGACCAGTGACGACATAAGTGAACATCTTGAAGTCACATACAACCATCACATTCTACGACAATGTTCCTTTAAGATTCTAGTACATTTCAACTACCTCAATTGGTGCCCAAGCATGTACATGTGTACAATCGCTCCAATACAATCCTGTCAACAAAATTGAATTTTAATAATATGGGAAGACTAACAACATTTATAAAACGATAAACTTAACTACTAACTAATTAAAAATAATAAAGAAGTACCTTAAAGAAAGGGTAATAGTTTTGGTTGGTCGATATCTCCAATGGAACATCATTAGAGTCAGACGACTTGATAAACTCTGACTTCAACTCTAATAGTACATCACAAACTGCATAGACATATCTAGAGATTGTCTCACTAGAATGTTGGTAATCCTCCATGTAAGTACTATGTGTCTTGTTTTTCTCTACTGTTGTATAAAATATCATAACTTGCTCTTCAATACTCATGTGCTTATTACTCGTAATTCGCCTTCTTGTGCCAATATATAACATAAGGTCTGGAAACATCGTTTGCCCATGCGAAACTTATTGTACATTCTTGCAAGATGACCATTTAGTAGTTCCACCATATAATCATGACAATTTAGTGCAAATGTATGTCTAGGTTGACGTCCTTGCATGCTAAACTCCGTTTCATACGCAATGGCCCCACACAATGTGACTACAACATCTACATATAATTCTACTTCTTCACTTTCATTATCTTGATTACGGTTTGTAAGGCTAGATGACACCATCCATACCTATCCATTTGTAACAATTTGTTCATTAGTTAATATTTTTTGTAGTACTTAGCAAAATATGAATAACATTCAATTTTTAAATCTCTTTACAATCTCCAACATATATGAAACATGTTCCTTCACATTGCACAACACCACAATTTTTCATCGGTTCTTACAACAAAGCAAGTGAAGTCTTTAATATAAAGCTAGTAAAAATAAAATCTCTCAAATGTCTAAGGAATAAGTCTCAACTAACAAGTAAAAAACATTGGTTCAATAAGTAAGACAAACAGCCTCATCTAAACACAACAAAAGTCATTATAAATCCAAAATTCCCTTTGCTTGGGTGTCATGTTCATCATTATCTCACGCCACTCTAGGTTGGCAACTAAGAACTTCACAACCATCAAAAATATCTTTACATCTAGTTGCATAGTTTTCAAAATGTCCTGACAATTTTTCAGCGAATATGGATATGTCCCAACAATTGCATTCTCTTCGATCCCACTATCGGCATTGCGATATGATGTCACAGATCTCATAGTCCTATTGGAAATAGCTTCTACCAATTTACCAATCACACTCACTAGTGGGTTTCCCCGAACGTCTCTTCTCTTCCTATTTACGGATCGGCTAGATCCAGACATGTTAGATAGTTTTTCCCTAGTTGATCTATCTGGATTAGGTTCAAAGTCATCTTCATCCATGTTCGCCTTGACAATATCGGGAAAAATCAAGTTAGATACTGCTGGTTGAGACACAGATGTGTAAGCAAATCTGCTAGTTGCATTTTGCTTTTCAAATATAACCTCATCTAACTCTTTATCAACAAGTCCCTTATGTAGGAAGTGTTGCACCCCTGGGTTTTGCTATTAATAAAAACAGACATACATTAATTCATATTCCTTAAAACAATGCATACCAGGTACTGTGTTATAAAAATTGAAAAAAAAAAAAATATGTTTTTTACCTATAAATATTCTTCCCAAATCTATTTAAAACATATTAGAGTTTGCAACTGATGATCCCAACCGAACCCCACATGTTGAAGTAGAGCATGCCAAGAGTGATACTAGTTCTGAACCAAAATACTTAGAAGATAATTGTCTGACTTCAAGTTTCTTCCCAACTATATATAATACCTTATCACTAATAATCTTGTAATCAGAAGATTTAATTGAAGTACCATGGGATGTTTTCGTACACTCAACCAACAAAACTAAAAACTCATGGGTGACATTAGGGGTCCATTGAACGGACTCACTCATCTAATAGCAGTAGGGTGAGAACAACAACCAAGATTGAAACATTGTTACAATCAACACACATATCAAGTCAAGCATATGCAACTTAAAAAATTATAAACTAATCAGAGAGAAATTATTACCTCGTTTGATCCAACACTACTTGTTGTGGTAAGTACAAGGGATACTACTGGCAAAGTAGACCAACATGGTCTTTGGTGTCTCCAAGTGTGGAAAAATGTCAAAACCTTTTCCTCTGTTGAAAGTGATAATCAATCCTACGACGATGGGCTATATTACATGAACCTTTGTTCATAGCATCGTAAATAGTTATTATGATCAAATTAGAGTTGTCAATCTACAAAATGAATAATACATAAGTTAGAAAAATCCCAAAAAAACCAATTTAAATGAATAAATAAATAAATTGTAAGTTACTAGAATGTGGGGTGTAAAGTTTTCTTTTTATTTTTTCTTCTATACAAAAGGGATGACATTTTTTTTACTCACTGTTGCACCCAAAGTTTTCATGTAAACTGCAAATTCTTTGAAGTGTGTTTTTCTACAGTTGAGGTTTCATGCAATAATGCAAATCTATTGATTTATTTCTTGTTTTGTGCACGAAAAATAACATGGCAACTCCTATCACAATATTAAGAGTTAACAAATAAACAAACAGTGTAAAAGAGTAATTGAGATTGAAAGAAAGATAAAATAAAATTTAACAAAATTGGACAAAAACTTGCACTCTTTTGGACATGCCGTTCTTTAGGATCATCAACTCACAACCATAACTCTTTCACTATCATGATTATTTATGGCCAAGGCTATGGGCATAGCCATTGCCAAAGCAACCATCATCAACTTATAACTTCACAATTAATTCATCACAAAACATAAATATGAATTCAACATCATAATCTATCAACACAAAATGCCATTTTCATAACCCATTTATAGCCCACTCAGGCTATTCATCGCACAAAAAAAAGCAGCTCAGTAGCCAAGCACCTTAACACCAAACACATTAAAAAATCTAGCTCCAAGCCCCCACATAACCACCCAAGCCAACCTTTCCTTGGGGAAAAGTTCAAATACTACAATTATGTGCTTATTGAAAAGAAATTACCAAGAACAAAATAAACGGTAAACTATATACCTGGTAGTCAAAGCCCATAAATAAGGCGTGACCTTTCCTCTAGCAATTTATCATGAGACAAAGAGCAAAAAAATCATCAAGGATCTCTATTGATACAAAGCACACACAATGACATTAATTAAACAAAAACACAAAGACAGAGTTTACGGGCTTACAAATGTGAGCCGGAGCTGAGCCGAAAGTGAGAAGATCAGAGAGATGTGAGATAAAAGAGCTCAAATCGGCCGGATCTGAGCTGAAAATGGGCAAGGGAAGGTCTGTTGACGGAAGGAGAGAGAGAAAGCACAAGAGAGAATTAGGTGGCTTTCACGGGTCGAGTGATGGAGTGAAGAAGAGTTGAAAATGGGTGCAGGAAGCTCTATTGACGGAAGGAGGGAGGGAGCACAAGAGAGAATCAGCTGGGTTTCACAAGTCTGGTGAATGAGTGAAGAAGAGCCAAAAATGGGTGCAAGAATCTCTATTGATAGAAGGAGAGAGAGAGTGTGTGCGCAAGCGAGAGTCAGATGGCTTTATGGCTGGTGAATGAGTGAAGAAGAGCCAAAAATGGGTACAGGAAACTTTGTTGACAAAAGGAGAGAGAGCGCAAGAGAGAAAGAGATTCACGGCTCTGGTGAATGAGTGAAGAAGGAGAAGAAGAAGAAGAAGAAGGAATAAGGGAGTCAGAATGTGTAAGAAAAAGTAAGAAAAAGTAAACGAGGGAGACTACTCACAATAGGAATATTTAATGGATTACTATTTTGGGTAGTCTTTGAATTGAATATTGTAACAGATGTGTATTATACTGTTCTAACTATGCAGGAAAAGTGGAATAGTATTTTAAAAAATGTGTCAGATAGAGCCTAATTAATTCTTTTAAATTATAATAAATATATTATTACGGCTTTGTTTTTGAGTTCTCAACCCAAAACACGTCTTAACAATTTAGGAGTTCACATGTTATTAAACTAGTCTTAACCTTTCCTTCCCAAACAATATGAGATATCACAAATAACACTAAGTCTTCATGAGGGTAAGACAATGCAACAAGAAAAAGACAATAAAAGGGGAAAATGAAGCAGTGCATTAATTCTGCCCTTATAAGCCTAAGACCCAACCCATGTCTATCCAATGTGGGAAGTGACATTCTCCCCCACCCGATTATGTGACACCCTCTAAAAGATAGCCTATTAGATGATACTACCTCTTGCTTATAACCCTAAGACCTAACCCATGTCTATCTGATGTAGGAAGCAACAGTCTCCCCTACCTAATTATATAACGCTTTCGTCATGATCATTGGTTGGCTCGACTCACCATTGCTTGGTTTTTAAGGAGGTCCATTTTAGCAGTCCAATTAACACCCAACACTATCTCTGGCACTGACTCACCCTTTTGGTTGGTTCCTAGTTGGATTTTAAGGAGCTCCATTTTAGCAGTCCAATTAACCATCGACACCAACTATGGCTTTAACTCACCCCATTTGGTTGTTTTGACACTATCTTTGGCACCGACTCACCCTTTTGGTTGGTTTTGGGGCCCTTACATAGTAGGATAACTCACCCATTTAAGAAGCTCACATAATGCTTAAAAGGTTGAAAATCCGTTATTGTACAAATCTACAGTCTCTGCCTAAGATAAATATGTAATATGGTCATGGTTGCTGCATACTGCATACTGCAACTTGAGAACTTGGATATTGATGGTTGTCCATCTCTTACGTACGTTACTGCTAGAAAATTACTTTATGGCCTTAAAATAATAAAGATTTCATATTGCCCGATGTTGGAACCCTTTTTTGGAGATGATGCTTCTCAATAATAAGTCACTTGAATATATTGATATACGGAGGTGTGGAATTCTAAAATCCATTCCTGAGTGCTTGTTCAACCTTTCTTATCTCAGTGAGATACATATAAATAATTGTCTAGCTCTGAAGTCCTTCCCGGAAATTGGACTACCTATCCCCTACCTGAAAATGTTGTATATCTATGATTGTGTTAATCTCAAGTCTCTACCCTTTGACATGCAAAACCATACATGTCTTTAGGATTTAACAATATGTGGTTGTCCAAGATTGGAGTCTTTACCAGTTGGTGGTTTGCCCCAAAAATTTTCTTCATTTGGGATATGGGATTGCAAGAATCTCAACAATCCTATATATGAGTGGAAACTACACCGATTGACCGCTCATAGAGATTTTAACATTTCTGGTGTATCTTTTTGTACATAGTTTCTTTTCCCAATGATGCATATTTGCTCTCTGGAGCTTGTGTTTCTCTTTGGATTAGAGAACTGGAGAATCTGAAAATCCTACCTAAGGGACTCAATATTCTTACCTTGCTTGAAGAGCTAGAGATTGTTGATTGCCCTAAGCTTCAGTCCATGCATTGGGAAGGTCTACCCGCTTCACTTGGAAAACTCAATATCATGGGTTGTCCTCTTCTGAGTTAGCAAATCTTCATGGGTAAAGGATCCAATTGGCCCAGGATAGCTCACATTCCTACATAGAGGTTGATGGCAAATGCATTTCATAAAATGATTTCAGTCTTTTACAAGATTGAGCAGAAATGTCAATCCTTCCTTACTTTTGACCAGGTAAAATTTATTCTCTGTTCATGAATCTTATCTCATATACTTACTATGTTGCTATTTTTCATTTTTGTTTTAATTACTAGATATTTCTGCTGTACATGTAAGATGGCAAAGTAGAAGCAGCAAATGGATTGCCTTCGGTTCTGATGAGTAATATGTTATGTTAACATGGTTTATTTCTAGTTTCAACAAATGGCTTTTCTGAGAAGCTCTCTTACCTTTGCAAGAATTCAACCATAGGATCATCACCTGTATCTAACAGTTGAAACTGGCAATTCAATTTAAATGAAATTTGAATTGCAGTGAACTTCAAGAACATGCAGTGCTTTAGGGATACTTGATTTGGTCAATGTTGATGATTCCAAAGAAATAATTAATTAATGGAGCATGTCAAATTTAAGGTATAGACATTAAAAAAAAAGATAGTCATAGTTTCTGTTAGAGTATGTGCCTCCTTAGAGCCAATCAATTATTAAAAAATTGACTCTATAATAAATGTTTATTTATAAATAAAATGCATATTCTTTTATATCGTGTATGTAATGATATATGTCCTTAGGATAGTAGAATCATGATAAGGGTATCAAGTATTTCAAATCTTAATAGTGAGAACCATATGATCACATATGGTGGCAATTCTAGAAACGTCCATAGCCCTAATATTATTCTGACCAAGGACATAGATAATACGGTAAGGCTATCATAGTGCTGAACGACCCTATCGAAAGGTAGTGACTGATCTCATTTGTCAAGGTTGTTTGCCAACAACCTGGTGCAACGCATGGGTGCTTAGAGGCAAGTTCACTGGATAGCCCCACAAGAGGATTCCATATGGATGGTAACCGTAGTGTCTATGGAATAAATTCTCTAACGGATGGTGGTGCATGTGATCCTTAGACTTGAGATCACCAGAGCGCCTTGTGCACCAATTAGTGTAGTTTTACACTAGCCCAACGTAGTTCTATTCAGAGCTATCAATACGGTAGTGATTGGCTATATTGAGAAGTGTGTCGAGACTATGGTGGATCAACAAAGGATTCATCACTCCTGGGAACGGGAGAAGTTATCTCACTAGGTAATTCAGTAAATGGCAATGACACTAAATCTATGGTCACAGTGGGGTTGAGTTGATGCTCAATCCAATTTAATATTCTTGTCATTAGTCCAGTAACTGAATACAAACATGTAGAGGATATCTGAGGTTGAAACTATTTATGTACCTCAGTCTTGATGAGATAACAGTTGATGAAAGGATTTGATTACACAGTAACCAAACTATTGACAGGCTGTGGTTTCGCTGAATCCGAATCTATCGGGTAGCCATGATGCCTTGTTGAGGGCCAATCTTGGTTTGTGTGTAGTGAGACGATTAATTAGTGTTAATCACGATGCCACACACTGCCGATATGATGAGGAGCCTACAGATCACACACTTAGAAGATAATTTAAGAATTAATTTGTGAGAAGGGTATTTTCGTCTTTTAGGACAAAAGGGTATTTTGGTAATTTTATATTGCAATTAAATTTGCTGAGGTTGTTGCCTGTATTTAATTTTCATATTAAAATTAAATTAGTGAGATTATATTTAAATATATCTTTGTATATATTTAAATGAATCATTATTATTACTTAAATGTTAATATATTATTATATATTAATTGATTTTAATTATAATAATAATTAATTAATTAAAATACCATAAAGGGTGTGTTTGGTTGCAAGGGTGAACTAGGGTGGGAGCCCATGACTATTCCTAAGTGGAATAGGGTTTTAATTGTTGCACTATATAAGTGTAATTTAAAATTAAAACAAAGTAGAATTATTCATTCAATTAAAACCCTGGCCACCCTATCTCTCTCTCTCTCAAGAAGAAAACTTTTCTTGTTCTTCTTTCTTAATTCTTGAAGCCCTTGATTGTTCTAGCAAAATAATCAAGGGTTCTTCGGATTATCTTCGTGTGGACTTCCGTGAGTGCGATCCTATTTTGGATTGATTGGTGAAAAATAACGTGAACAGTAACCATGAACAGTTGACGGTGAACATTAATCGTGAACAGTACCGTGAACAGTGTTGCTGTCCGAAATCAAAGATATTCGAAGGAGCCTCAAAACGTACGTAAATATTCTAATCCTTGAATGGATTTACTTTATACAGATTTTTGTTTATAAACATGTAAACGGTATAATCTATACTCGGATCTAGGCAAAGAAAGGTAATTGATTTAAAGATTGAATTTTTTGTTTTCCCCTGCATATGGTAGATCAATTACTTATAATTTCAGCCTAGAAGATGTAAACATGCTTGTAATGAAAAAGATTCCCACAACTCAAACGCAAAATTAAGTAAGCAACTAAAAATAAAGAAAACCAAAATACAAGAATTTTAAAGTGGTTCAGCCCAATCAATTTAGCCTACATCCACTATCCACTATCCACTCAAATAATCCACTAAATAAAAGCTTACAACTATGCAATTTCTAGAA